CGATCTTCCAGCCTGTCTTCTGTGCACACCAAGACCTCGAAACGAGCTTGGTGGTTTTGTGCAGCCGCCAATTATGAGGAGGCAGGACGCTGCCCAGTGCAGGTTTATGAATGGGACTCGGACCTTCAGTCTGGAAACCCTGCTCCAGCCAACCCCTGGAGTGGGTGGGGACAAGTAATTGCAGGCAGGGAAGCTGGGCACTTACCCAACAGCAGCATCCAGGACCACGGTGACAGGGACGTTGAGGTGGCACAGGGCTTTGGCCATTTTCTTACTGCAATTGATGTTTTGAGAAATTAGAACCCCATAGAGTTCCAGAGTGGTGGTATGACCAGTCACTCAACTGACAACAGTAAGTCACGTTAGCGAGAAACTGACCTGATGAAACACCCTTTGCTGTTCCTGACTTAACTACTAGATAAACCCCTCAATCCCACCCTGTTACCCACTGTAATTCACGTGGTTTTTCTTCTGATGGCAGGAACAGGCACAGCCAGGCAGTGCCGATCAACGGGCAGGTCAGGGCATGTTCTGGCTCCTCTTACAATGGCCTCTAATCCTCAGTTTGCTCTTTAAAATGACTGCTGGGCACATAACCAAGTGCAAAGATACTTGCCCAGAGAGGTCAGGCTGTGACTCCGTGATGTACACACTGAAGCGCTTCTTGGACGCCGCAGCTGCTTCCAGGACCCTGAGGACCACTCGGGAGTAGGCGTGCGTCAGGATCCTCTGTGGGCCGAGAGAGCTCTGTCGGGGGCAGGCCTCCAAGGATGCCCTACACCCCAGGCCGCTCTCGTGCCTTCCTGGTACCCTACGCTTTTCTGTGTGCTTTCTCCCAGATCAGCTACCATCAGAAGAAAGGTCCTTGATGGGGCACCAAGTTTTAAAGCCACATACAAGCTGAAAAGGTTCTGCCAAAGGGATATACTATTACGGGTCCCCTCCTCCCAGAGCAGGCACAGAAGTGGAATCCCCATGCTGTGGACAAAAGCTTTTATTTGAAGGCTCCATGAGATTCCTTTTGGTTTCTTTTCCTGTTTCTAAGCCACGTTCTGCACACTTGGGCCCACAGGCATGGGCCGGGTGCAGGCAGCAGTGGCTCGGAGAGGCGGAGCTCCGGCCGCCGTCACGGAGCCCACTGTTGCCGGATCATCTGCTTTTCCTAGAGAAGCCAAAAAGCCAATATTTAAATGTTGGTGAACTAGTGTTTTTTTTTAAAATAAATAGTTGGGAGTAAACACAACCCATTTGTGGGCGGATGCAACTTGTAGACGCTTCCACACATCTTCTGTCCTAAGGAACGGAGTACAGAGGACAATGCAAGATGGATGGATGGAGCTCCCTAGAAGTACAGGCTCTCAGGCCCCGCCCCAGACCTGCTGAATCGGAATCTACACTTAATACTATCCCCAGGTGGTTCTCTTGGACGTTTAAATCTGAGCAGCTCTGTTCTAAACTCGGTCTCAGTCAGCGCTGCTGCAGGCGGATGTTACACGGTAAATTACACTAGAGCACGCGAAACCCACAGAATCCCGACAGTTGTGGTGCTGGCCTGGAGGCCGAGAGAAAGGCAACATCGTGCTTCCACGTGGCTTTGTTTGCAACTGGTTTTTGTACAAGTTCCACTCACATCATTACATCATTTATTTAATGACTACTTCAGAGGTTGGGAAGAGGGCAATAAAAGGACACAATTTCAGAGTCAAAACGCACATAAATGATTTTATGGTCAGTGGCGGTTTGATAGCCAAAAAGAATATGGTGGTGGGAGAGATGTCATAAAAGTTTTAGTAGCCCTGTGCTGGGAGACTGGCTTAACCTGCAGCTCCAGTCTTTGCATCTCTGTGACAGCGTTTGAAATGAAGTTAAAAAAAAATTTCAACCCAGTGCTAACCTGCATCAGGAAGACAGCGTTAACCAGTGACAAGAGCTGCTCTGTGTTGACTTAATTCATGTTAATTTAGTACACATCCAATAATAAAAATACTTCCTTAGTAAGGTGTCTTGTTAAATCAAGAATCAGCCATGCTGTGCCAGTGTTTTTCTCTGCCTGTTTAAAATGAAAACCATCTATGATGATAATATCTACATTTATATAGTACCTACTCTGTGCCAAGCCCAGGCCCAGTGCAGTCCTTACACAGACCATCTTAGTCCTCACAACCCCATGAGGTAGGTGCTGTTATGCACCTAACTTAGCAGTGAGTAGACTGCAGCACAGAGAGGTTAAGTAACTTGTCCAAGATTACACAGCACATAGGTGGCAGAGGCAGGATTTTACCCCAGGAGTCTAACTCCAAAGTCCTTGCTCACAGTTACCGCACATGATGACATCTACTCACCGCCCCGTCTTTGATGAAAGTATGGCACAGATCTGCAATTTTACTTCTTGACAGTGATATTCTCCTGAGAAAAAGCTCTCCTCGCTCAATCATGATCTTTTTACATTTGGAGTAATCCTAGGAAAGGAAGAGCAAAATGAGGGCAAGGGGAAGATCCAAGCAATGCTGAGAATATCTACAGCTGAACAGACGTGGGAAAGGAACCCGAGGGAGGGTGGGGCTTACAGAGTACTCCAGGGAGGTGAGGCTGATGAAGCGCAGGAAGAGCTCCCCACCGGAGGACACCGCCACAGAGGAGTCCACGCCACACAGGGTTTCTATGGCTCTGGTGAGATTCGCTCTCAGGCCCTGGAGTGTCTCCCCTGGATTGATCACGTGAGAAATGTGACATTCACCTTCGTATCTATCACAGCCCCCTGGTGGGTCTGCGATTCATTCATTCAACTAATATTTACTGAGTGCATAATATGCCGGGTACTAGTCTAGATGCCAAAGATACATCAGTGAACAAGACAAACAGGGTCCCTGCTCTGATGGAATCCCTNTGCCAAAGATACATCAGTGAACAAGACAAACAGAGTCCCTGCTCTGATGGAATCCCTTTCTAGTGGGAGAGGCAGAAAATAAGCACACAAAGAACTAAGGAAGTTAATTACAGAAGGTAATGAGGACAGAAAAAAGCAGTGATGAGAAAAGTGGAGGGATGTAGAGTGAACAGGGGTGGCTTCTTGGAGTGGGGGCCATTTAAAATGAGACCTGAGGGGGAAAGGATCCAGCCGCACAGAGGTCCAGTGGGAGAGGTTCCAGGAGCAGACTAGGACAGTGCAAAGGCCCCGAGTGGGAACAAACTGAGTGTGAGAGGCCAGCATGGCTGAAGCACAGGTCTCTGAGGGAGAGCACTGATGAGGCCTGTGAGGCGGTGCAGGTGAGGACCAGGTGTTTGGATATTACTATAGTACGAGAGGACACTGGAGGTCATCTTAGAGATACAAGTCTCCAGGCCAGCCCTTTGGATTAACGAAGGCTTTATTATTTTGCTTACTCAAGGTGTCCTGCTACACCCAGATGTTTATATTTGGACGATTACGATTAATGACAATACCAGAATTTATCCTGGAATGTTCTCTGTAGCATCTGCAGAGAATTTGGCACAAGACAGCTAAATAAAACCCCTGGAAAGCTGAACTATTGATATAATTTTAGCTTCATGGTCAACTGGATATAAAATGGTAACTCTTGACTCAAAGTATATTTTATTTATGAAAGGGAACCTGCTTCATGGTAACTTGGGGGCTCTCTCCAGTTTAAAAAGAAGACTGAAATGAAGGAAGAAGCTGAGCTTGGGCGACCCGACCTTGTGTAGGCACACGTATCTCTCTCCCTCTCTACACTTCCAACAGCTGCTAGAAGGCTTTCCTCAAAGCCCCGTGTGTTCGAGGATGACCCTCACCTTTGTCTTGTTTCAAGAACTCCAGCAAAGTCCGTATGGCTGCCACTGCCGAGGCTGTGTCCAGATCCTCTTTCATCTGAGACTTGAAGTAGGCGATTAACTCTGGGAACAGAGCAAAAAGTGACGCATCAGGTTCACTTAGCAGGATGTAAGGCCACAGAGCCTGCCAGTGATTGCAGACCTTACGAAGCAACATCATTTAAAAACGTCCTTTCCAAGGCGTCTGGCTTTCTGGGGGATGATAACGGTGGTGGGAATACAGATGACATCTACTCAATGATACTGAAAGGTCACTCTCCCTCTTATCCTGGACCCCAAGTCCTGAGAGACCCCCAGAGTCAACCACCTAGTCAAATTTACCGGGGACCGCTGCAGACGGTCTACCCTAAGTCAAGCCTATTCACCTACAGGCTCATTTACGTGTATGTCGGGGTCCACCCCCTGTATTTTTTTAACACGACAGCTGCGAGACACACGTTAGTGTGCCCTGGTGTCTCGCTTCACGATGCACTTTGGTAACCACACTCGCTGAGCACGGCGCGCACGCCTTGCTCCTGTGACTCCAGGACCAGATTCAACAGGGCAGGGAGTCCTGCCCGCTCCACCTGCGGGGGAGTCGCGCGTGGGGGCCGGGGCGTCTGCGGGGACGCTCAGGGGCCGCCCCCTGAGGCGGGACCACGGGAGGGGTCAGAGGAACCGCGTCCCGCCGAGCAGCCCGAGCTCGGAAAGCGACCTCCCCGGGGCC